GGCACACATACACGCACACTGTTCGTAACTACAGAAAATGAAGAATTTAAAGTTGAGGCTGCAGGGAGGGGTAAGTAGGTGTGGCATTTCTTACCTGCGCTTGCTGCATATATTAGAGGGAGGTGGGGACCACCATTTTAAACGTATCAGATAACAAATGGACATGTTGATAATATCTTATCCAATTATTGCTTGCTCCCTCTGGATATTGTTATAATCGCGTTCTCAGAAAAATTTACTTTGCACATCAAAACATTTGAGAATGTTACGCTACTGGGACTTTCCATGAGTTACACAAAAAATGCAACTCAAGAACCTTCATGCAAGTATTTATCAGTCATCTGTTAGTGGCCTAAAACACTGCTGTAAATACACATGAGCAGTTACAATGCAAACAACCAATCTGCATATTCCATGATACCATTTACATAATTCCAGGTAAGCCTAATGTGTTCATTAGCATTAACTGGACCTTTGAGATGACAAAGGTTCTTTTACCGTTAGTCACTGCACATTTCTATTAGTGCTATCACAAAAATTACTATCAAACTTGCAGAATTGTGCCTTAAAAAATTAATCCCGTATTTTCAATCTCTGTCTCAACTATTGTGGTCAACAAACCAAATAATGCAAAGAACAAGCTCTAAAATCTAAGCAGAGGGAGTACATACAATATTTTCTGAAATGAAATATTCTAAAAATATCTTCAGAACTTGTATGACAAACTCCAGGACACAGTTCTGCACTTTTCTCCATCACTGTGCATGGGAAGCTTTTCCCAATACCCTGCTCCAAAACACTTTTACGCAAAATCAAAATGAAACAAGAAAAAGAATGTCAAATTAGTAGCATTTTTAAAGATACTCCCATTTTCTCATTCTCTTAGGAAGTTCCCCCATAAGTTAGAGTATTTAGAAAGCCTCAAATAGACTTGTAAGTATTCTGAAGGACTATATTATGCTAAGGGATACGGTGACAACTGGACACAGTCCCAACAGCAGCACTTTGGATCCAAAATTCCACTTCAAAGGAGAGGCTTCCAGCTAGGAAGTATATACTTATTTGCCTCTTAGTTGCTTAAAAATTGTTAATCAACACATCTTGGTTTTCCTTTCTGGCTATATCAGCTTTTACATAGTATTCCTTAAGTAAAAACACGTTCTCTGTAGTCCACTTCTCTTTATAATACTAGGTATATAAAGGACAGTATAGGAAACAGCAAGGAAGGGACTTCATATAACTAACTGAAGTGGTTCAAAGAAACTGCTTACTCACACAGGACAAACAAATACTGTGAAGAAGTGTTTCAGAACTAGAATTTGACTAAAAGTTGCATTTCTTAAAGTATGATTGTCATTCATTGCACATATTTTTAAGAACAAAGAACCAAAGCAATCCGTTGTTCTCAAGTTATTTAGAGAGACTGCAAGAACAAAATACATATATTTGCTATACATATATTTGGGTTTAAAAAGCCATCCTTTCCGCGAATCCAAAAGCAGAGGGGAAAAAAAAGGACTCTAGCAGCCTGAATTTATACAAAAGGAGAGAAATTGTTTCCTCTTTCTGCAAGCAGGAGAGGAACAGTTGTGTTTCCTATAAAGGAAATTTAAACAATTCTAAAGAAAAAAGAGAAGCATTTCAAATGCACAGGAATGAAGAACGCTCATTTTATTCTGAGCTTCCTTTTCCCTTTTTAAGCAATTACAAACAGAGAAATTATTTTAACTTGGACAACCTAATAGACTCACAGCCCAAATACTTTAGCTTCTCTTGCCCTTTTTTTTTTTTTGAATAGTTGAAAGATTTTTGGCAGCTATGTATTAGAACATAACTAGTAAAAAAAACCCTAATTAGGAAAACTGGTTCTAGAAGGTCAAACTTTCAGCGGAAAATATTTACAGTTTGCTTTTAACTTTTACTTGTAATTTGTATGTTTAGTTTCATTTGCATTAAGCTAACAAATTTCCTGATATGGAGGAGTCTTTAACTGGCTATGCAATAGTCATGCAGGAGTAGTCTGGCTAGATAAAAATAGTCTTTTCACCAGAAGTCTTATAATGCTCATTTAAAGCCCTGCCTATTACACTGGAAAATTTTTAAGGGGAGGGAAGGGAATTTTCAGTATGCTAACTACTTCACATTGTCTCCGTAGGTGGACACCATCATTGCATTTTAAGAAGGCAGTAAGCCACTTACCAGAAGCAGTGTTAAAGTGAGTTATGAGTGTCTGAGCAGGCAGCTCCTGAAAGGCAGGAGGTCGAAGTTCCCAGCCCTGCTTTCCCTGCACCTACTTCCCCATAGACTTATGGAGTTGAATCAAGTGAAGTATTTTAATAGATCCTTTTGCTTGGCAGGAATCTAATCTAAGAATACAAAACTTTAATCTTCCTACATTTTTATCACATTCACTAGCCACTGTAATTATCCCAAAATCATAGTTAATAATCGGTTCTCCATCCAAGGACTTCAAACTATATTTAACAATTAAGACGGCCTCGCATCCCAGTGAGGAAGTGAACTAGCTCTTACACGGAGGGCAGCTAAAGCACAAAGTCATAGAAAACTTTGCCAGGATTGGAACAGAAAAACTGTGGCACAGCCAGAAACAGACTTCCTGGCTCCCAGCCCTACGTCTCAACCATAATAAATTCCTTCCTGTACATACACACGCTCAAAGAGAAACTCCAGTAAATAGACCGAAAATGCTAAAACCCTTGAAAATTATTAGATTAATAACAACACTTAGGGCAAAGAAAATACTGTCCTGCCAGGGTTTGTCTTCACTGCAACAGATAGCACAAGTTCTTTTGCATAAGCTTGCTTAACCAAAGTAAGAACAAATGCCTGCACCATGATACAGTCGTGCCTCTAAAAGCAGTAACATTAGTTATAGAATAATGGAGTTACATACAGCGTTCTGTGCATCTCAGAACCTTCATTTAACAGTGCATACTCTAGCTTTGGAAGCACTGTAAGAATTTATTACAATGTTATTAATGTTGAAGGTTTTTTTTTCCCTCTAAAGTAAGAAAGAGCTTTTAGTAGTAGCATCAGCACCAGACTAAATGCAGTACACAAGTTCAAAATTCATTTCACCTTTGACTCCAACTTCTGTTTGATTCCAGCACTGAAGACTAGGGTAACACCAGAGGAACACACAACACTGGCCAAAACAACTCCGAAGGCTTGGAAAGCCTTCCAGTACTTGTTTTATTTCAGTGAAATACTTCTTTACCACTCAACTTGGACTTCTGAATTTAAGAGATCCTGCCCCTATGTCCTAGAGGAGAGCAAGTATCCAACTCTACGTCATGTAGGGGTAGGAGGAAGCAGCAGCTGTTGGTGGCAGTGTCCTACAGCCGCTCTACTAGCACACTGCTAGGGTTATAAGGACTTTTCCTTCTGACACCCTGTTCAATGCTGGAATAGGTTTGCCACACAAATCCAAGATCACTCAAGGGTGTAAAGAGTCCTAGATATCTAAACTCGGGTATATCTAAACTCTCATAAGCAGAGTTAAGTGGTAACTGACTGAAGGAGTGTACGAAATCTGTTCACTGCTGAAGTGAGAGATGATTTCAAGCATCTCATCAGTTCTTAGCTTTAAGGAGCCCATGCTCACTCTGCCTTCGATGCCTCTTCAAGAGCCACAGGAAGCCTGTTGATGGAAATGCAGTCTTTGCTCATCTAGCAATAAATGACAGGTCCTAACTCATTCCCGTCTCTGATGCAGAAAGGCAGACAGACTTACATATGCATCTCCCTGCAGTGGCAGCATCGTTTCCTTTGGAGAAAAAAAACCTCAGCGTACAGGGCCCTCCGTGCAGCTGCTTCCTCCTGCCTACCCTCCCTCCCCATCACGAAGGAAAATTTGCCCATGGTGAAGGAGCATAAGCAAGGTCATTACCACGTCAATTCTTCCTCCATAATAACTGATAATTTTTTTTATTTTATTTTTTAAAGCGTTGGGGCTTACTGAAGGCTTTTCCAAATCTGACGGTACAGAGCCCAACATCTTGAAATGTGATCCAACGAAAGGAAAGCGCGCGATGAAGTTTCCTCCCCGCTCACGCTGGAGCCCAGCCAGAAGGGAGGCTGCTCTTGACTCCCACGGCTCACGGTGCACTAACACAGGTTCTTCAGCTCGGAGAAGCTCACACAAATTAAAACACTGCTTGATAACAATCAACCATGTCTAAATTAAGAGAATGGGTATGCAATTCACCTTTGCCATTCACGCTTTTACACTAAAATGACTCAGACTGCCCACTCATACACCTCCTCACTGAAACATGATACGAAGTAAAAACCTGTCAACTCAAGGTTTTCAAATTTTCTTCTGCAGGTGGAGAAACCTGCACCTGAATGCTATTTCTGGAAGTATACAAATATCACTTAGTTCTTGAATTAGTGTAAAGTGCACATACTGTTCTGTACCAAATAGGTGCAGAGGCAAGAGAAAGTCCCAAAGACAACATAAGCATATACCCAAGCCCCTAAAATACAGCTCTGAGTAGTGCCCATGTTCGTAACAGGAGCAACAACACAGGCCACAGCAAGGCAGGGGCTCCGATGGATGAATTGAAGGCTGAGGATGCACCTTCACGATTGCTCTAAAGCACATTTACCGTGGTAAAATGGACAGCGCCCCTGGTCAGACAGCCCCACCCCGTCTCTGTGCACCCACACCTTTGCCCAAACGGAAAATCAAGTACTAATGAATAAGAGAGACATACTCATTTCCATTAGTTTCTCTCTCTAAACGTGAATTATTGCTTGAGGTTTTGACATGTGATGTCCAATTTCTATACTTCCGGGATTTTCACTCCAGTAACTGAGCCTGCCCCACACAGTTTTCCTGTGCAAACTAAGCCGGAGCAGGAAAAGCGAGCTCAGAGCTCCCACAGCCCAGTGCAGAACTCGGGGACTCTTGCAGGAAAACTCCCCTTTCACCATGCAAGTCTGCCGGCAATAGAAACAAAATTTAATCACGTGTGATGACTGCTTTTGTGAGGAAAGCCAGGTAAGGCAACTTTATGCTAAGGTACAAGTTAAAGTGGATACACAAGAGACTCTGCCAAGCTCACATTTTCATTTCTTGCTCACTTAGAAATGGAAAATGCACTACGCTTTACGGTTAAGTATAAATTTCAAAAATAGTCAAAAAGGTTTCTTGTGGTTATAGCCTATTGAAGTGAAACTGCTTGATTTCACCTCAAAAATCAAGGTGAAAGTTTCACAGAAGAAACTTATCAAGAAAATTGAAATAAAATAAGCAAGACCCATTTTTGCATGTTTCTGAATTTTGTCTGACATCCCTTACATTAAGAAACTATGCCAAAACCCTGTGAAGTGCTATTATTTACTCTCCTTTACAGCAGACTAGAAAGGTTTTGCCCAGAGCCTTGCTTAGGTACAACCGATTAAAATCTAGTTCAAAAGAACCATGCCACCCAGCCAGATATGAAGAGATTTGTTATTCTAAGACTTAGAAATAGACAGGTTTTGATGCCAGAACTGAGTCTATCCAAGCTGTTGTTAAATAAATGAGTCTGTCTAAACTGAGATTTATCTCATATCTGCCCCTAAAGGCAATAAGAGCTGCTTTTTTTATATTTACTTAACAATTTAATTAGTTACAACATGTTTTCATTTCATTAATCAGTGACTAATGGGAGTATTCTGTGCATGTGCGATAACTGTCCTCCTTTAAATTATTAGAAACAATTGCATAGTGCAGTATTTACTTTGGTATATTAATTCTGTGCTTACATATTGAATAAAATGCTTTCTGTACCACAAAATTTTTTTAAAAATGAAGTTTTTTTTGTAAAAAGAACCATCTTTCTGATTAGAACTAGAGCTTGGGTTATGCTTTCTAATACGGAACAAGTTAAAAATTTCTCCTCCCACTGCAACACATCTCAGTCCTGGGAATATCCAAGAGCAACCCATAGGTTCATAATCTTTATGCCTCTCTCTTTCAGTAAATATTTAGTGAAATTATTTAATTACCTATCGATGTTACTTTGTCCCTCCTGCAGTTTGTACTGGTGTATTGAGGGAATCAAGATAGAACTACTCAGCTGATTCCTGGTGATTAATGTATCTATCACAAGCAAAGGTATCTATAAAAATGTAACGTTAGTTCAATCCTACATAAAATATAAAATCCCACAATTACTACTATCTCCAAAGAAAAATAGGAACCTTAAGGCGCGAGAGTTATTCAGACACTGAAAAGTCTCCTCATAACCAAAGAAAAAGATTTTGTGATGAAGCTTTTGGACTCCAGCAACGTCGACAAAGGACCTTTCAGGGAGCACGGAAAGAGTTAACAGGAGGCTGCAGCTGCAGCAGCAGCACTCTGCTGGTGACCATTTGCACGCCTGCAAGGTACAGTCCCAGCGGACACATTATCAGATTAGGGGAAGGCAAACAAACTGAATTGAAACCATTCCTCAGCGAGTCCAACCTCTTCTTCCTGTGATGTCATGCTACAAATTGCCTGAGCTCTTTTCTCTCCTCTCCAGAAGGAGCCGGGCTGGCGAGAGGCTGCCGGGGCGCAGGACGTGAGGGCCGTGCTCTGCAGGAACAAACACGCTCTGGAATTTCATTTCTGCCCTCGCAAGCAGCTTGCTTCCCGCCCGTGGGGCGAGCGAGCGAGCGAGCAAGCGCTCCGAGGAGCCGAAAAGCTCATTTTACAGAAAGAAGGCTGAGGGAGAAATGCAAGTGCCGACACTTTGCGGCGTCCGGGAAATCGTTTTCTAAAGCATACGTTCCCAGTAAATTTGGATGGACAAGACTTTGCCATCATGATCTGCAGCCAAGAATAAGGCAGAAAGTTCTACAACAGCTTCATCGACTCGAGGGGGAAAATGGAACTAAGCAAGCTTTGGGATGACCTCATCTGCCACAAACTATATGTTTTTTGACTTTCGAAGACTGGCTATGTGATTACAAATAGCACTTGGAAGAGAAGAGTGACCTGCTGGTGATTACTGCTGGAGATGTACTCCCCTGCTACAGAGCTTGTGTTTCTTCTCTGAAGCTTTACAGTGCAACAAACTTACCAAAGCACACAGTTCAAATACATCTGCAAGTTCTTCTGGAATTTTAAAAAAATTGCAATAAAAATACCAGAGAAACCTCCAAATCACAGGAATTTTAAACATACCATTATAATGGTAAGCTCTAATTGTTCCACTGAGGACTCCTTTAAATATACTTTATATGGGTGTATCTTTAGTATGGTGTTTGTTCTTGGCCTCATAGCAAACTGTGTTGCTATCTACATTTTCACTTGTACATTAAAAGTGCAAAATGAGACTACAACTTACATGCTTAATTTAGCAATATCGGATCTGCTTTTTGTGTTTACATTACCCTTCAGGATTTATTACTTTGTAGCGAGAAACTGGCCATTTGGAGACATTCTCTGCAAGATTTCTGTCACCCTCTTTTATACAAATATGTATGGGAGCATTTTATTTCTGACCTGCATAAGCGTAGACCGCTTTTTAGCTATAGTACACCCCTTTCAATCTAAGACTCTCCGAACCAAAAGGAACGCAAAAATTGTCTGCGCTGCAGTATGGATAACCGTGTTAGCAGGCAGCACACCAGCAAGCTTTTTCCAGTCTACTAACCGCCGTAATAATACTGAACAAAGAACGTGTTTTGAAAACTTTTCAGAGGACACATGGAAAACCTACCTATCCCGGATTGTTATCTTCATTGAAATAGTTGGGTTTTTTATTCCACTCATCTTGAACATGACCTGCTCTACTATGGTCTTACGGACTTTGAATAAACCGCTTACATTAAGTCGGAATAAATTAAGCAAGAAAAAGGTACTCAAAATGATTTTTGTCCATTTGGTGATATTCTGCTTCTGCTTTGTGCCTTATAACGTTACCTTAATACTTTACTCCCTTATGAGAACACAGACCTGGATTAATTGTTCAGTGGTAACTGCAGTCAGGACTATGTACCCCATCACTCTGTGCATTGCCGTTTCAAACTGCTGTTTTGACCCTATAGTCTATTACTTTACATCAGATACAATTCAAAATTCAATAAAAAAGAACCGGTCCACTAGACCACGGGACATCAGATTCTCCGAAAGGCCAGTTTCGGAAAACTTCATTCAACACAGCCTTCAGACCATAAAAATGAAAATATTTGACAGTGACTCTACAATATAAGCTGTATTAAAAGACTACTGGGACTAAACTGGAATTAGAAGCCTGCACATTTCTTCAGCTGTGGAAATATATTCTGATATGTAAAAGTAACGCTTCCTTCACATCAGAAAACTTTATAAGACTGTAAAAGTGTTAAGCATAACAGTACACAGAAGAAGTATTTTAAGAATTTATGTTGGATGTCTGTTCTGACAGGTTGTACGTTAGAAACGAACTTTTGGTTTCAGATTAGGTTAACCGAAGTCCAAAGACTCTCTGTCAAGTCAAAAACAAAGGAAAAAGTAGGTGGTTTTTTTTCTGAAGTTAAAACAATTGCTCATTTTTTATAACGATATAGGTTTCCAAGTTGCTGAGGACGGGGGTGAGACTGACTGGTCTACACTGCAGGATCCAGTTCCTGAGGAAAACAGCACCATGTTGATCATACCACTTCAGCTACTGTGCCTGCTCCGGCGTTTCTGCTTCTCTATCTTACTCCTCCCTCCTGTCTTTCTCCCTGCACCTTCCTTCTTAGGGACCATTACGTTCATAGGAAGCTTCAGTCAAGGGGCTGCAAGAACTTCATTTCTCCCAGGTTTATCTGATAAAATATATGCTCTCTCCACAAGCCTGGCCCCCATAAAGCAATTAAATCTTCTGGTAGTTTAGGGCATCTGGAAACAACTCAGACAAACTGGTTTTTCTTCTCACCTCTGTCTCAGATGTCTGTGTAATTATAACAAAATAACCTCTGATGACTGAGTTAGTGCTTTAGGTACAGTACCACTTCATTAAACTCTTTTCTGAGAAGTTCAACTCAACAGGACTTTTGAGCAAAACAACATCCTCCAAATAAGGTAATTCAATCTCAAGGTAGTAGTCTCTTAGAAAAACATGACCTTTGCTAACTAGAAATGAGCATGTGCACCAACCCAAATATTTCTTCTAGGAAAGTATTTGGTGTCCCATAAAGAAATTCAAGACATGGTAGTTTTTAGAGTGAAACTTCCTCTCAATCTTTGTGTCCTAGAAGTATTTTTAACATGAGCATTTAAAATTTCAAATGCTATTTTCTTGCAAACTTTATAAAGTATAAAAATAAATTACTTGGGGCTACGTGCTGGCAAAATTAATCGAGACACTTTGAAAAGTTAAAGCCGTGTAAAAGGAGAAATCTACATATATTACTGTTACAAACAGGAATATATAGACAAGAGTGCTTTAAGAGGTCCTGCTATGTATGTTTCCCAGCTATTAGAACATTGTGTACATTTCCCTCAAAGTTAATTTAACATTGCTGTAAAATTAAATAAATATTTAAAAGGTAAAAGTAAGTAGTAAGTGTTGGTTTTTCCTCCCCAAAACCAATGGAGTCAAGAATAATAACTGAGTTAAAATGAATTTGCACTTTAGATTTTGGGCAGTGAGTTGCAACACAGCTATAGCACTGAGGCATTTTTACTTCAGGGCAGTATACAGAAGCACGAATCAATGTTGGAGAAAATGCATATTGAGCTGTCAGTGTATGTATGTTATCCGACTGAATTTACTTCCCTTTGCGAAGTTTTTGCTTAATTGTTATAAATCAACCGTACATTGCCTAGTACTACTGGAAAACTGAGTTACTCAAAGACTGCTAGAAACTAATGCCGACTTAATTTTAAATTTAACAGCATTTTAAATCTTTATCCACACAACTTATGAAAGGAAAATTCAAATAGTATGAGCTTAAGCTACAAAGATAGCATAGATATAAATGTCTGCATAATATCTGAAAATAGGCAGTTATCTTAGTTGGGAATCCTAAACTCCTCTGATTCATACCCAACTTCAGAAAAATGCACGAAACCCCCAGCACGAGTAGAAATTCTGTACGTTTTCCATATGCCACTGACTGACAAATCCACAGTTCAAAAGCCGGATATGCATCTCTAATGTCTCAGTGCACCTCTCTCTAAAGAGCCTGTTTAATATTAGACTGCATCCAAAGACTTTGAGACTAAAGCCCTTCATGTCACTGCTGGGCTATGTTTCTAGGCTACTACTCTCCCCAAGCTTGCCAAAGCTGTTACTTGGTTGAATGACAACTTGTTCAGCAAGAGCAGCCAACACCCCAGAGCCTCACCCTGGTAAAGAGAAGCTGCTCTTTCTGAGATCACGAAACTGCAGGGGGAAGAAAAAAAAAAAAAAAAATCACTGACTTAAAAGCAGAACAAGCAGATAAAGTCGCATGTAGGGGTACTCCCCTTTAAACCAGTCTTTCCTTGGTGTGTTAGCTCAAAGAGCCTGGGGAAGCATGCAGAGTAGCTCTTTCTGCCTTGCACTCACTCTCCAGGGCAGTAGCTTCTGCTTTTTGCGATAGCGTAGCGCAACACAGTACGAGAGCTTTCTGACCAGTTAACAGCTTGATATCTCGAAACTGTTTGAGGAAGCTTTATATTCTTTATAATCAAACATACTTCACTCTTTCAAGGGGCGCGACACAAAACAAAACAAAAAAGAACACAGTCAAAAAAGCTACATCTGTAATACAGAGAATCTGACCATTACTCGAGAAATTCCTGGTCTGACTGATTCAGAAGAGGGGGAGTGAACCTGTACCTCCCACAACAAGCTGATATAAAGCCAAGCTACCAGCTATTCAGGACTGGACAAGGTTTTCTCCACCTTTTCTGGTTCTGCAACACGATCATCCTGAACAGCTGTGGATGGAGCAATGTTTTCACTGGTACATTTCTGAATAGCCGCACTCCTTCCCTCTGCTCCTGCCTTTGATACCAACTCTTCTGTCCCTCTGGTAAGAGCTTATGCCAAAATTTCGATCTAGATGAGAAGTTATGCTCCTAAGTCATGCCTGGGCATCTCAAATAAAAATGGTTTATATTGTCAGAGCTCCTGAGCACCTGAATGTGTGGCACCCAGTACTTCCTAGAAGTACATTATTTTTACTCATATGCCTATGCAGGGGGGGGTTAGGAGTTCAGTTTTAGGATCAAAACTTACAAATTTGTTCTTTGTAGTCTGGTTTCTTCATCTACAGAGTGATGTTTTTGATCTAAACCAGGGTAGGCAGCCATTGATAACTAGATAATTAGCCAGCAGTTTCAAAAGACAAGGAAAAAGAAACAAACTTTCTATCAACACTTCTGATTTACCTCAACATACCATTACTTTAAAAGCAAAAGATTTTCTATTTTATACTTTTTATATTCAGCTTGAAATTTTGATTTCTGGCTTTCTCAGGAACAGAACGCAAGTCAATATACATGTCTCTGACATTTAAAGAAATACCAAGTCAAATACTTCTTTATATTTTTCATCTAAAGGTGCTTAAAAAAAAATAGAGAGGATACTTCACGCAGGTAAGAAATCCTTAACTGGAATCAACCTCCAAACTTTTATTTCTTAAGAAAGTAACCTCAGTCATAGAAATGCAAAGATTGAAAAAGAGCTTGCGAGATCAGGTAGAAGATACAAATGCCTGTACTGGATCAGACCCCAGACATTCAGCTAATCTACAATCCTGCCTCCAACATTTGGCCAAGGCTGGATGCCTGGGGAAGAAGATAACAGTAGGCGAGGCATACAAGGCTTTCTCCCCTCCAAGTGCTGTCCCACTTCACCAGCTATATCTCAGGACTTTCTGGGTCAGATGTGTTTGTGTGTTCAGCAACACTAAAATTTTTTCTCCTGTGAGCTTGTCCGGCCTCCCTTTGAATTCGTGTAAACTTTTTAACATCCACAGCATTCTGCAGTAAAAAGTTCACGGGGGGTTGGGGGGGGACAGGGGACAAAACTAAAAAAAACAAACCTCCTTTTGTTTCAAATCCACTAGTTTCATTACTGCCTCCTCATTTCTTTTGGAAGAGGCAAGGAGCACTTGATTGCCATTCAGCCTTTCCATATCACTCCTGATTTATACAGTCTTCCGTCCTCTCTAGCAAATGAGAAAGCAATTTTCATTTGTAATTTCAACCACCATCATCACCAAAGATGAGATTTTCAGAGTTACATAAAGAACTCAGCTAAAACTACAGTGAACCCAGAGCTGTTTACTGAGACTGATAATTTTGAAAATCCCACTTGAGCATAGTATCCTCTAGCATTATTTATTCTTCCAAGTTATTTTCTAGGAGTTTTATCAATAAAGAGCAATTTGTTCATACTTTTCCAGCAGTAGATGTAGTATTATAAGGTTCTTGCACTTGGGCAGACCTGTAAATCCTGACAAGTTCCCTTTTTTGCTAGACTATTATCATTTATACCTCAGGGTTACTGGCATTTGAGCACCACTGACAAATGAAAGAGGATAGATTTCAAAAGCTAAGGCAAAATGTAAATCAGAACGATTCTAAATCTGGAAGTTGTAAGTGCCTGGACTACATTTGTTATCCAATTATCAGAGTGCTGAAAAAATTGTGTAAATACAACTGACAAACACTGAATTAGCACGTTTTCAGAACATACTCAATGGAGCTCATTTAAGATGAACGCAAATTCAGAAAGCCACGCTTGCACAGTCTAATACTTCTGCAAGAAGTTGGATGGAGAAGTTTCTTCTAATCCTCTAATTCTGCTTTGACACTGAAGCAATCTTTCACACTTATCACCTCCTCCCATCCAGTTCCTGTTATACAACTGCTTATAAAGTAAGCCCAGTTTTTCCAGTAAGAAAACTGAACTTATCACAAAATTAAAAGAAGCAAAAAGAACCTTGCACACATCATCTGGTCTTCTGCAAAACCTACCATTTTATTGGAAAACTAAGAATTCCAGAACTGAGAATTTAAAGTTACTTTTTCTATTTAACAAGCAGTCTGTCCACTCTAGTTAAAACAAAACTGAAAGCTGTCCTGCACTAACGAAGGGATAAGTTTTCTACAGTTTAAACATGAGAATCAAACCGCAAGCAATGACAAAAGAAGTTCCTATCTTTTTATGAAGAGATAAAAGAATACTTTTCCACACACATAGCTTTAAGATTTGCCCTAACTTCAGTTTTTTAAACAGTGAGTTGCTGC